TGGTAATTGCTCACTTCTCATTTCGTGCTTTCTAAATCTTCCAACAGGTAATGAATAAATAGCCAGATGCAATAGGTAGCAGCGTGCCATTAACGGATCATTTCATTTGATCCTTAAGCCACTGGGTAAAATCTCTATTGGAGCAGTTCAGTATACGATTAGCCCAGTACTTAACAGCCATGCAAGACATGCAAAGCGGTTTCCAGAAACGAACCACATCTGTCACCAAGGAACTAGAAGCCACCTCCCTCAAGTAACAAGCCCTATGTCTTCTCATAATGAAAATATTTGCGCATGTTATCAAGGGTATAGTAGTTAGAAGCTATTTGATTGTTCATAAGTGTCTCTATGGTATTACAATACAATGAAAAAATGGTTTTAAAAAACCCAGTAAATACTTCAATTACTCGAATTTTACTCCAAGGACATGAATGCAAAGCCTGCACATCAACATCCTTTGTAATGCCTGGCCTCGACTCCTGTGTCTTTGCTGTCTTTCTGCTCGGTCAGCAAGAGAGATCCATCTCTGATTCTAAACACACTGTGAAGTTATCCAAAAAGGTTTCTGAACCCATTAAAAATCTTCAGAGCTCTCAATTCACCGCTCCTTATATCTCTCAATCTCCTCCTCAGTACCTGACGAATAAAACATTAAGAATAATATAAAAGCAACTGGCATGATAGACCATCTGTGAAATTATAAAGAGGACATGTTCGTGTCATCTGTAAGCATACAGGAATATGTAACATTTCAGAATGCTCACTGATTAGCACATTGAAAAGCGTTTCGACAAGATATCTAATTCATGGTTTGCACTTTGCAATGGCATGTTGATTGTATGCTTATAGATTACGGGGCAACTACAAATGCACAATCTCATTCTAATCCTGATCAGTCATTGATTATCAAGCATCAGATGCCATGTTGCATAACAAGAAGATCAGATAAATTTCAATTGGTTAACCATAATTTGCATCAGCCAAAAGAAAGTAAATGATACTAGCAATGCAGTGTTGGGTCAAATAAGTAGCAGGTAGATCTAAAATGAACACTTAACAGAGAAGCCATGGCCTAACTAAACGTATATGGCAAAACAAGTTAGCGACTGGATTCAGAACCTGCCATGTGAGAGTTGAAATAAAGGCTCTAACTCACCAACAATTGATGATAATAAACATGGAATGCATAACACTCAAACAAGAATTATCATGCTGCAAAAGAAAAAGGGATTATATTGTTTTACATATTGAGCACGAAATAGTATTCTGCGTTCACTGCTGCACAAGTCCACTGCTAGCTGTTTCAGGAACAATCTTCTGTTAAGTTGCTTTGGAGAAGTCACATCCAAATCCATTGATCCACTTGCCTATGATAGAAGAATAATAAACTAATGTTAAAAGTAGTAAGTAAACGAAAGAACAATGCTTCTTGCACTTGCATCCATGTAATGCCATCATTATATCAGAATTTTGATGTTAATTACAGTTATTCTGTACAGTGCATAAGCCACAATGTTAGAAATAATAACAAAAATTCTCTCACCTGCAAGAATTTGGTGTATTTTGATATGCTTGACTCGCAACTATCCAATATGAATTGCAATGCTTGTTCCTCGATATCAGGGTATGTTATATTCTTGTTGGTGGTTGTCTTATTTGATGCTGCAGCAGCCATCTGGAGTAACCGTTTAGAGTTTAGACAGAAGCACAAGTTCTAGACAAATTCCTAACTAAGAGTATAAATCTCACAAACCTCTTCGAACTGCCTGCTCATGCTTGGAGGGCTGACTGCCAGATAAGCGTATGCCATTAACTCTAATGGCCAACCAGTGACTTGTAGAGGAAAACATTGAGATCTGCTAATTGAACAGAAATATGTAATGTTACACAACAATTTAAGGATGAACAGTGATTGAAGATGATGCTGCCAGCTATCAATACTTACGCTGACAAACCGTGCTTCTTCAGAGCTTCTAACTTTTCTTTGTAATATTTATCAGATTTTTTCAGAGACAATGGCAACTCCACTGAATCACTAGGATTGGTGCCCTCACTTGGAACAAATCCATAAGATAGCAACAGCTCTCCATTAGATTTCCTTCCATATGATATGAAAACCTGCACAAAAAGGCATCCTTATTACTCCTTTATCTGCTACAGTTGGAGCTAGTAAATTGATAGTGAAGTTCATAACACCAATTTTTTTTCATCTTAGAAAACCTTCCATTACAGAGAGAAAACAGTTTGGCATGACCACCTCTTTCATTCTTACGTTCATGCCATCATCTTAGTGACAGCACTTATGTGGATAAATATATTTAATAGTTTAAATTCAGAATCTATTTTCAAAGCATTTTTTTTTCCCATGAAAACAACAAAAATAGATTTTGATTGTTGCTCTTTTCCCTTACAACTTTGTCATTTAAGAACTAGTCTTACATTATCAATGCAGTTCAGTAAACGGTTTATCTTGCAATTCTCATAGCAACTTATGACTTGAGTTTCATAACGAAAATCTCATTTACCTGCTCACCTGGCTGGTATGGTCGATCTGTTGTAAATACCACTCCCTTTGATGATTTATCATAATCCAAAAAGGTCTCCACCTAGATCATCCAATTTCAAATATGCTTATTAAAAATTGATTCTTATACTATGTAATTAGCTAATATTTCCAAGGAGAAATTTCTGATGATTAATCAGCATACCTCACAACTGTGATTCAGCATATCTGCCCAGGGAACCAAGGCAACTCTTCCATCCATCGATGGTAAACGAACCTATGTAGAAGAGATAAACCAAGTCCACACAAATCACTATTTAAACACTACTATTAAGCCTTCACATTTAAAATTCAATTGACACTACTGTGCAAGGATCTAATATGTAATTACAAGTGTTATGGAAAAGGCCTGCAAGTCATTCAATACCAATTCAGCAAAAAATGAGGTATCCTCGAGTTTTTCCACTAAAACAATTACATTGATTTTTATATTTGCAGTCTTAGTAGCTGATTCCATGAGTGATCATATCAAACACGTCAAGACTGAGCGCTGTAGCAATTTAGAGTAAAAAAGAAGACGGAAAGACAGAATGAAAGACAGAATTTCATATTTCATTTTGTTCAATTCACACATTAACTTGGAGATGATTTTACAAGACAAGCTTGGTTTCTTCAATCTCCCAGAAAAGCAATATAATGCCACCTGCTTCCAAAACATCTTTCATAGCTCCTGTATGTGGATTGGGAAACAAATTTACAGAAACAGTGTTAAATAGATTACTTACCAAGCGAGAGAAGAGAATGCCAAACGACCACTTGAAAGTCTCCATATTGAATACCTGTAAGTCATATATAACGGAAAAATCAAACAAACGGTGAGCTTTATCAACAGTATATACAGCATTCAGCAACTAATATAGCTTACAGAGGCTCTCAAATCTCGCGAAAAGACACATAAGTTAGCTCACAGTACGAAGGCAAAGGATGCCAGTGCTTGGAAAATATCATATTAGACAAAACGCCTCTTGCATACCTCTTCAGGAAATAGATGAGGATACTTGGAAAATATCCTGAGCCTTAAATCATTATATCTGCCAAGAGGGACTAACCAAGTGTTAGGGAGTCCACAGCAGATAGCATAGAAATTCGGCACATGAATAACAAAAACAGCTCACAAACAAATTAATCCATACGTTCCGGTAACATTGGTAATCCTTTCAATTGCCCGCTCTCTGATCTGTGAAGCTTCCAGATACGTATCTAGTTCCGCTCGTGTCCTGAAATGATATAGAGAGGCTATAGGGGAAGAAACTGAGAGTAGACCCTTTCGGTGTAAAAGGAAACCTCTTGAACAACTCTTTACACCAGTATATGACCTATCAAGTATCCAACATGAAAAATTTACCAGTACAAAAGAGAATAGGGCTGTCTAGGTAGGGCCGAGATGTAATTGCTCCATCTTGATGATTTCTCAAAACTTGCTTCGCTAATCAGATAGGTTGCGAGCAATGGCCAATCCGGTACAGAGTATTGTTTTAACACTTCACCTGCCTCAGGGCAGCTCCACTCCTACAAGGTAGAGCAAATTATAACCAGCTGCCACTTGCGAATGATAGCATATTTTTCTTTTATGAACAGAAGAAAAGGAAGAAGGGTTTACAGAGTCGGCAGAGATGACAAGGGATGGAGGCACGAAGAGCAGCATCTCACCCTTCCTAATATTCTTTAAAGCAACCAAACCTCTCTCTCCCACTTCCACCTTTTGTATTGCCATTTTCTGAGGAGGAAGGCCTGAGTCAGACAACCATTTCTGAAGGGCCTCAGCGTTCTCCAGAGAATCGATGTCACATCCCCATGGCACGGTCTCGGACACTTTTGCTGCTGCTTTGGTGTCACTGCTTGTTGAAATTGAGCACTGAATTGCTGGGTGCCTTTTGGGCAAGAAAGGTTGTGAGCAAGAGACTTTTTTTTGTGTCTTGTGGAGAGAATGGAGTGAAGGACGAAATGTAGTGTTGAGAATAATTCTACAAGCTTCAGCCATGTCTGTGCACAGTGTACACCAGATCGAGAGACTGAAGAGAGAAAGCACCTACCTTATCTATGCAACAAGGTAAGGTGATGAAGATAGATTCTTGGCTAAACTGTATAAATTAAGACCCCTCAATTATTGATCAATTTTTATTTCAATCCCTTTTAGTTTTTATTTTACAACCTCCTCCACCATTAAACTTTCATCATTTTAACCACTAAATCATCCCGATCTTAGAGGCAAACATTTTATTAATTAAACTCAAATCAAGCTAAATAATATTAATTTTTTTTTCATGTGAAATCTCTAAACTTTATAGTTCAGGAAGATAAAGCCAATAAGGCCGGGAGAGGGTCCAGATTCAAACCCTCTATAGTTCAGGTATTAAAATGAAAGAAAGGAAATATAGAGGTGCCAATCATAACTTTAGTACGTTTTAGGCAGAGATTCTGGCTGGCTGTGAATGGGTTTAAGCGGTCCTCCTCCCTCGTTGAAACGGTGTCATTTTGTGAGATTTGGTGGAGCTTTGGCTGCAAAAACTGCACCGTTCCCATCCCAAGCGATGTTGTGCACTTGCAATCAGATAATTACAAGAGAGCATAGCCCGAAAGAATCTGGCGAGTTTGCTTCCAGCAAAGATGGTTGCTAGCACAAATCTCATCATCTCCTGCAACTTCTCTTGTCTTCCTCTCAAGGTTAACCCGAAGCCCAAATCTTTACTCAAAACTCATTACACATCTTTTCTGTTTTCAAATACCAGTACAAGAAAAAGCTTGAATATTTCAAATTTAGTTAAACCCCAATACATTTATAACAATAAGAAGGGTGTTCATCAGACTTGTTATAGCACCTTAAACTCTGACAACAAGTCACCGGATGACCAAGTTTTAGATAAAGATGCTACGGGTGGTGGTCAAGAGGGAGGAAGGGACTGGACAACCTCAATTTTGCTATTTGTCTTCTGGGGTGGACTCATGTACTATGTTTTCAACCTCACTCCAGACCAGACTCCGGTAATTTAATAATATACTGCTAAATCTACGACAACCTCTTATTTGGTTTTTCTGTTGATTAGACTGAGTGATTGTGGCTTGTTTTAATGACTTTGTTATGTCCTTCTAGATAAGTTGAAGAGTTAAACTTAATGGAAGTTGAATTATACCTTTTGCAGTCAAGGGACATGTATTTCTTGGAGAAACTTCTCTATTTGAAGGGAGATGATGGCTTTAGGATGAATTCTGTGCTTGTGTCATTGTGGTACATCATGGGTCTTTGGCCTTTAGTTTATAGCATGCTTCTACTTCCAACTGGCAGAAGGTAAATTCCCACCCCCACCCCCCGTGCTTGCCTTTTTGTGACAGGGTCTGAATCTCTAACAAGGTTTCAGGATGTTAACGATACCACTTGGCTCTTAGGCGTAGCTTCCCATTGCCTTTCCTCTGTTTGATACTATTTACTTAAAATTCATTAAGGACAATCTTTTAAGTCACTGGGATGTTCAGAGAGACAGTCACTATTTAGTTTGACCGCATCTTTTTATTATGCCGTTGGTTTATCAAGGGAAAGCAATTGCATGAGTGTGACTTCTAATTTCTCATTATTTTGCTACAATGCATTATACATCTGGTCGCGAAAATTGCACGCTATGTATAGAGTCATGAGCTTTGAGTCTTTATGCATGCATCTGACTCTGGTTAGACTGAAAGGGAATGGCATGCTGCTGTATAAAAAATCATATAATTTTTTCTTGTAAATTTTGGGGAAGATGCTGAATCTAATGGATCCGTTTCTTGTTATGCAGCTCAAAAACCAATATTCCTCTTTGGCCATTCCTTATTCTTTCATGTTTTGGTGGTGCATATGCTCTTCTACCCTATTTTATTCTCTGGAGACCACCACCACCTCCTGTTGAAGAAAATGAGCTTGGAAGATGGCCTCTTAATTTTTTGGAATCAAAGTTGACTTCTGGAGTAAGTTTTCATTGATTGAACATCTCAACCTTCTGTTTAAAGAGTTCGAGAGGATCTTTTGAGTGCTAACTAGGTAGAATTTTAAATGCTTCCCAAATGCTGCTTAAAATTACAGTCCCATCATAAGGTGTTATCTCTCTCAAAAAGTCCTTGTACTTCATGTGCTCATGCACATTGCATTTCTACCTGTTATTCGATCACAACATAGCAATTCATGTAATGTGTTGGGCTGAGATGTTTCTTCTATCTTGTGGTATAATATAGTAAAAAACCCCGTGATGCTGTAACTATTTTCTAAGGAAATAATGGAGACAATACCAATTAACATGGACTTCATACATCTTTAGAATTGAGACAGTCAGTGTGTTGGATGGGGTCTAATTCAGCTTGTACCCTGTCAAATTATCGAGAAAACGACTAAGGTCAACTTGGGAGGTTGAAAAGGAAGTTTCTGTTGCACCTGGTTCTGCCACTTCTATTTTTCTCCCCTTGCCTTTGGTGCTTTCTTTCTTTAGGGAAAAAGGTGATGTCACCATAGCCAATTTAGTTGTATTCATGAGATATTCTTCATTAAACAAGCACTTTATGTTTAACATCAATTATGATAAGCTTGATTCTCGCCCTTTTCTTGTCCATTATATGTTCATCTTTCTTTAATTTCCTATAGTAGCAAGTGACTGGAATCTATTTAACTTTCTTTCTTGTGTTAAGGAAATGCAATTTAACTCTATTATTCTTCAGATATTACTGGCTGCAGGGCTGACTATAATCGTCAATGCAGCTTTAAATGGTGGTGAATGGAAGGAGTTCTACCAGTATTTCAGGGAAAGCAAATTCGTAAGTGTGTTTTGTGTTTGATTTTGTGCATACTTGATATCAGTTAAGGCTAAAACCGATGCAGAGCTGACAATTAGCATACTGGTTCGTTTATGTACTGTATTGTTACCGTGGTTGTATTAGTCAAAATTGATGCTAACTTACCTTCATCACCTCACTCGCAGATCCACATCACATGCCTTGATTTTACTCTATTATCTGCTTTTGGCCCCTTTTGGGTTTACAACGATATGACTGCCAGGAAGTGGTGAGAGCTTATATAAATAATGATACCCTAAACCTTTTATTGCTTTCAAATCTTTTTAAGGCGAGATTAGCTAAGCACGATTAATTGCTCTGTCTTACAGGTATGACAAAGGTTCATGGCTTCTTCTCATATCACTGGTTCCATTCTTGGGTCCTGCATTGTATCTAGTCCTACGGCCATCACTCTCAGAAATGCCTGTTTCACAGAGCCCAACTTCATCTGAAGAGCAGTAGCACTGGAGTTTTTAAATTTTCGTCCATATCTACTAGGAAGGCAAAGCTTGTAACACCAATAATAAGAATTTAGTTGTATGAAGCACAGTTGGGAATCTGTATTGCAGAAATTGGTGGGAAGTTAGCAGTCGGATTGTTGCAAGCAGATTAAAGTAACAGATTGAATGAATACATAAAGGATCAATTTACAATTTTTTTTTTTCTGGAAGAAATGTTTTTGTAATTTGCTTCTGTTTGTTTTGTAATCAATAGGAACTCCCTCGTTGACCATTACGTTGCTTTGATGGATATATTGATTATCAACTATAAGAAAAGGCCTGCAACGCGGATGAAGCGATCAAAATTTAGATTTTCAAACAAGAGGTGAAAATGTTGCCAATTATCTTTATCATGCAGGAGATTTTGCAAGGGAAGAACCACTGCTGATACTCTTTCTCTGGAGAGCCATTTCCTTCCATCATCTGTAAGATAATAAGCGTCTAGACGGGGGTAGTAAGTAGCCAAAAAAAAACAGCTTGCGCATGGCGCAAGAGTACTAGACCAAAGCTGCATGGTTTTAGTAACGCCAGGACAGCAGCCACGATATGTATGTTGCACAGATGGATTTAGACAAGTTTGCATGATACTGCCACGTACATGTTCCTGAGGAAAAATGAAGAAGAAAAAGATGTTATCCCTAATGCCATCAACTGTTCTTAAATTGCTTGTAGCTCCTTTGAGGTGGGAAAGCAACAACCGTGTAAAATATAATTATCTAGTCATGGGATGAAATTAAGTCATTCTCTAAATGCTTTGACCTTTTCTTCAAACTGTTCATTCATTTTTATCTTTATGTCATACATTTTTTGAAGGAGTTTATGAAAAGTATAAAGATCAAGCATGTGGATCGATTTTATTATGTTCGAACCATTTAATAAGCATTATTTTATGGATGTTCGGTCGCTTAAAGAACAACTTAAATGAGACTGCTCGAAAAGATAATATGGTTTTATAATGGCATGTATACTTGTAGATAGATATGTTCAATATGAGGAAATTGAAAAAATCGTCATACTGCTTTATAAAAGCGAATAAATCTATAGTTTAGATAGGCCTGAATCTCATCATTTTACTCTTTCTCTATGCCGTTTTGCTTCTATCAGATCCTTCGCTAAAATATTTGAAAATATATTTTATAAGCATTGATTGACAATATATTTTTATGTTTATAGTGCTCGGTATCCAAGTAGAAGGACATAGCTATAATCAAACTTGATGTTCTCCTATACAGTATATTTTGTAGGATCATTACATTGTTTATAGTAGATGAAACCATGCTGATCATCAAAGATTGTATCGAATTTGAGCTTTACTGGAAGATGTTTCGAGCAATGCATTTGCTTTATGCATGTTGATGTTGCAGGGAGTTGGGAGGGCATAGGGGAAATGAACTTAACCACTTTAGCAACATAGTGAAAACTTAGGATATCGTTTAGAAGAGGCTGAAAGACGTTCATGAATCCAGGAAGGAGCTCTGCAATACTAGCTCGCATGCAAAAACCTTGTCTCTAAAATCAAGATAGGCCCTGTGGGGCTGGCCCGAAAGCTTGTGTTTTCTTTTTATAAGATGCATAACTTGATGTTGGTGATTGAAAATGCAATGATTGGGAACGATATATCAAGCTATAACAAGGTTGAGGGGCACAGGCTATCAGCTAGCAAAAGGCTCTTGTACTGAAAGCTGGGAGAGAGCGAGGCATGCATGGCGCCCTGCTATAAACGCAGGGTGAATATTGAGAAAGAAGTACCTGAGGTTGAAGGCTCTGGAACTATATATTATGATTATAAAATCATTTGAATGATTATTGCTGTAAGAATCTCCAATGTTCATGTTATCAAAAGACCATGTTGTTGAAGTTTGATGAACACATTTGGCTGAGTTATTCTTGATATTAGGATATTAAAATAATTTAAAAATATTTAAAAATATTAATTTAAAATAAAAATATAATAATTTTTTAAAAAAATATTTTTAAAACATAAAAATACAGCACGTGTGTCTGGCAAAACTTGAGTTCGAAGGATAATCAGCAGCATGCATGCATGCCATGACTTCATTAATTGGCCATTGACAAAAGAAAATAATCTAAAATTATAGCAAACATAAGAATGAAAATTTACCTGTTTTGTTTTTATAACATAATGTATGGTGGGTCAAAAATTGGGAGAATTTACACCTAGGGGACTCTAAAAAAGTGATAATAAATGTGGTCGGTAATTTTTTAATAATTAATAAAATTATAATTTGAATAGGAAAATATAAATGCTTATATGGCTTGTTACTATTTTATTATTATTTCTACTCATTTTATATTTTATTAATTTTTTAAAGTAATAATTAAGATTAATAAGAAGAGGGAAACTATATTTCCTATGATAAAGATTAAAAAAACCATATATATAAAATATTTGCTCTGAAAAATATATAATATTTACTCGCAAAGCGGGAATAATAATCGGTTAAATTCATGGACCTTCTTGTTATCTTTTTCTTTTTAATTTTTTTTTTAATTATTGAAAATTATGTATGATAAAAAAATTATAGAATGTAATACTTGTTCCATGAAAAAAAAATGATTTTTAATTAATATAAATATTTATAACATATTTTAATTAGTTTAATAAATTTTAAAATTAATAACTATATAAATTTTTAATTATTCTGAAATAATTCAAAGTCATAATTATGTCAAGCCAAAGCCCCAGAAAAGGTAATTAACCCAATAGTCAATGGTAGATGTCCTTCCTTGTCAAGCAAAGCATAATCCATGTGAGAAATGTGGATTGGACGACAGTCCGTCTGTGCATACATTCACCAAATGACATCTCCCTCCCTCCCCTCTTGTTTTTAAGCTTCAAAAACAAATCACCAGCCCACCCAAAGCCAAGCCAAGCCAAGCCAGGCCATCCAGTCCGGTACCTTTTCAGTTTCAAAAGAATTGCAGAGAGAGAGAAGAAATGGCGGGGTTGATTCCTTTGAGATCAACAAGGGTTCCTTTCCTTACCAAACCCAAACCTTCTCCTCTCCATCACGGACCCAAGAACTTCTCCATGAACCCGAACTCGGGTGCCGGGAATGGGTTTTCCGTTACCTCCATTAAAGCTCAACAGGTTTGTTTGTTATGTGGATTGATTAGTTTTCTGAATTGTTATTGTTATTAATTGATTTATTTACAAATGATTTGCAGGCTGATGTGTCAACAGTGAACAAGGAAGATGAGCTAAAAGCGAAGGAATGGGAAGTGAGTGTGCTGCAAGAAGAGGTAGCTGCTAGCCAAGGTATAAGAATCAGAAGAAAGCCACCCACTGGCCCACCTGTGCACTATGTGGGACCCTTTGAATTTCGGATTCAGAATGAAGGCAACACTCCTCGTAACATCCTTGAGGAAATTGTTTGGAACAAGGATGTGGAAGTTTCTCAAGTAAGTAATAATCACTTCATTTTGTTAATTTTTGATTTGTTATTTTTTTTTTGTTAGTGAATATATGAATTATGGTGGATACTGTTTTCAGATGAAACAGAGAAAGCCACTTTCTTCGCTGAAGAAATATCTTGAGAATGCTCCTCCGACAAGGGATTTTGTTGGAGCTCTAAGGGAAGCAAATCATCGAACGGGGTTTCCTGGTTTGATTGCTGAAGTCAAGAAGGCTTCACCAAGTAGAGGGATTTTAAGAGAGGATTTTGATCCTGTATGTATATGCCCTTTTTGTTAATTGGTAATACAGGCGGGTTGTGTTTGACATCCTCTAAAGCATGCTTTCACCACGACTAATTAGTATTTTCTGGTTCTATATGTTTTTCAGGCTTGCACTCTTCTTTTTCATGTTTCACTTGTAATAATTGATGAGCTTTTCTTGGTCAAGTTATGTTTTCCGAGTTCTTGTTGTAGTTTTCTGAATCTGTTTATTTTCCAAGATGACCTTTTGCTTGGACCTTTCTTGTAATGCGATTTTCATACAAATCTATATGATTGTGTTTTTATTCCTACAAGTGGTGCTTTAATAGTTTCAGGTTTTTTTGAATTTAAAACTGGGAATAACCTTAAACTAGGGATGGTTTCTGCAATTTTGGCATTTTGAATGGTGTGCAAATGTTTTTGACAAATCAGTGGGGGGGTTTCGTAGTAATAATGCATTTTCCCCTAAAAAGCCTTCTTGAACTGAAACTATATTCCAAAAGCCACATTGGCTTGGTAGTAATCATGTTAGTGATTTCATCATGACTGACTGTTTCTCATGATAGGTTGAAATTGCCAAAGCTTACGAGAAAGGAGGAGCCGCATGTCTTAGTGTTTTGACAGATGAAAAATATTTTAAGGTATGATATTCTTCCCAGACATCCTCAAGCACATTCATTGTATTTTTCATTTCCTTCTTTATTAGTAGGATGTGTGGGTATTGTAGCAAAATCATTTAATATGTTCTTTTAATTTGATTTTGCTTTGATAAATGAAGGGGAGCTTTGAAAACCTTGAGGCAATAAGAAATTCTGGAGTAAAGGTATGCTTTTGTGTTCTGCTATTGCTCAACATGTAATGCATTGTACATGCTTGCCTACATCAACGAGAGCATAAAACATGATTCTAATGCTAGCAAATTATGCAGTGCCCCTTGCTTTGCAAAGAGTTTGTTGTGGACGCATGGCAGATCTTCTATGCTCGGATTAAAGGTGCAGATGCAATTCTTTTAATTGCTGCTGTTCTTCCTGATCTTGACATCAAATACATGACTAAGATATGCAAGATGCTTGGTTTGACTGCACTTGTGGAGGTCTGAATGGTGCTCCTTTTGGAATTGTTACACTTCTTTGTTACTTTTGTCTATACAGGCATCCAATGCAACATTTTCGTTTATTACATGCTTTGGTCAAAATTTGCAATTCTTTATGAGGACTTTTGTTCATTGTATTTCTTATTTTGATCAATTATTAATCTGATGGAACATAGACAAGTTTTCTAACCAATCCTTCAATTTGTTTTTCTTATCATGCTTTGTTTTTTGTACATTCAATTTAACATCACCATTGGCATAAGATAATTTGTTTGGTTGGTGATCTGAAGTGTTGTTACTCTTGCTGTTTATCTATAGGTCCATGATGAGAGAGAAATGGATCGTGTACTTGCAATAGAAGGGGTCGAACTTATTGGCATCAACAATCGTAACCTTGGTATATCTTTTAACATCTATAAACTTGCTTTTTCGATGGACCTCATATAAGAAGCTTTCACTTTCAAGCATTTTCAGTTTTTGTAATTATGCATGTCGTATACTTTCCCAAGTAAGTTGTTCTACCACCTACATATACGCCTGACAATTTTTTCACTTATGTGTGCGCTTTCAGAAACATTTGAGGTTGATATCAGTAACACGAAGAAGCTTCTTGAAGGAGAGCGCGGTCAACTTATCTGTCAAAAAGACATAATTGTAAGTGCCTCTTGTCTTGATGAGTGGTGATAGCATATCTGATTGTGACCCCCTGATTAGTTGGACTAGTATTCATCATGTAAATGTGTTGTTTCTGACTGTGTGGTGTTCTTGTAAACTGTTGTTTTGATGGGTTCTTTGTTGGACTGTTCAGGTCGTTGGGGAATCTGGGCTATTTACTCCTGATGATATTGCTTATGTGCAAGAAGCTGGTGTCAAAGCAGTAAGTCTACAAATTGAAAATTCCATGCTAGATGTGCAGTTATGCAAATGTTTGAAACCACAGTATATTTTCCTGCCCAGTCATGCAGTTGATGGCGTATAGTTAGAAACAATAATTATGTTGTGACTTGGACTTGTTATGGATTTTCATCCCAATAACTTGATTTGTGTTACCCATGCATGTGAATAACAAATCCACAGTTTGTTATGTGAATCCATAATGCCGCATTTGCAATGGATAATTATCTAGTGTATATCAGATGTTGAATTTGTAATGCTGTCCTGCAGGTTTTGGTTGGGGAGTCAATTGTGAAACAGAGTGATCCTGGGAAGGGAATATCAGGACTTTTTGGTAAAGATATCTCCTTGTAAGCTCAAACTAGGAACATCAGCCTTGTTGTAGCTGGGCATAGAGTGAAAGTTAAACTGAGGCACTTGTTACTTACATATACGTGTTCCTGTGTTCTTCTTTCTCGCCATGCTTTCCCATGATGTCTTGAACTGTAGTGGGAATGATTTTGGGGTTGGTCCAAAAGTTGTATTTGAAACATGCACGCAGTGTTCATTACAATGGAAGAATTGTAAAATTAATGACGGATTTCTTATGAAGTAGTGCATCTGGTTTTTTTCTATTTGATTTGACCGTAAGGAGTGGTCTTGGTCCAAGCTTGCATGGGGGGGGATAATATGGAGTGAAAAAGCTTTGCGAGACTGGTTGTTAAAGTTGTTTTTGCTTATGGTTTATGTATTTATTTTAGAAGGGTCACTACAACCAAAGTTACAGCAATGTGCACAGGATAATGGCGGGGGAATTTCCTGCTGCGCGCATGGAACATCGACTCCATTTCTTACCTTCATAGACCTGCTCGGATTTGAATGTGGTGTTTCAAGTCGAACCATATTTAAGTCCTAGAGATTTAGATGCTCAAAGGGCTGGCTGGATTTGTTGTCTGCCTTGGAAGAAATGGAACCAGTCACTAATTTCTATGGCCTTGTGCTACAGGGCAGGTATGCTAACTTCCAACCTGGATTAGTTCTCCATTTCTTGTGGGAAAGCATGTGAGATTATCCATTCTCCGAAGAGTAGAAGAAATTAGTGTCTAATATTTTGATTAAAGTCTGTACTGATGATAAAAAGAGGAGCCATATAATCCGTTCCATGGAGGCACGAGGAGTACTTGATTGTCTCTGTAATCATATGCTATATTCATGAAGAGTACTTGAATTTTCACAAATTCTTCCAGTAAGCTTGATTAAAGTTGGATGGCCATCCTTTAATTAATTATATCATTATTAATAATTAATCTAATTTGAACAAATCAAGTGCCATGTACTGGGAAATACTGATAAAAAAACATTTTTCTATTAGGGTGACAGTCACCAGTCAAGTCAAAACATTCTTCCTTCCTACACGTCAAAACCAAAATTTTCAAAAACTGCAATGTCGGTACGAATCAAATCACATGGTCACGCGCCTCCTCCATTGAGCTTCGGACCTTGATCGATTGGGCTGGGTACGGCGTCTCATGGTCGTCGAAGGCGAGGAGCTCATCGTGAAGTATCAAAGCTTTGGCGACAGGAAGGACTCCTTTTTCGAGGCTAGAAATGTTAAGCTCGGCTTAACAGGATTGAGAAAGAATAGGAAGAAGAGAGAATAGAAATTGAGAAAGAACAAAAAGAAGTGAGAGCAGAGGAGGAGCAGAGAAATGAGATTAAGATTAATTTTCTTTTTATGTTTTCCAACACGTTTCATACACCAGTTTATATACAATGGTTTTTCCTTCCAATTACAATTGATTTAACCTTTTTATTCAACTATCAACTACTAACCAACTCAACAGCTAATTACCTCCTAGCTAAAAGGCAGTCTTCATGTTTTTCACATTCAGCACATACTGCAATTTTTTGCTTGAAGACTAGTAATTCTGTTCTATACTGGAGCACATACTGCAATTCTTTACTTGAAGGCTAGCAATTCTGTTCTTTACTGGAAGCAATACTGGAGGCTTGCGCTTTTTATTTGTAAGCTAATAACCTTAATTCCATGATAACTTGAATCTTAACAATACCCTCCTCGTGAAAAGATTCTTGACCTCAAGAATCCATGCCAAAATCTGGAAACTGTATGCTTAATTCCTCTGTCTTCCTATGTTGTCTTTTCACAAACAAGTAATACTATTTAACCAATCTCATAACAACAACTCTGTATTCTTTCTTTTATTTCTAAGAATTTCTTCTCTTCATCCTGCCTTCCCTGAATCAAATTAATCCCTTTAACTCTCCGTTTATGTCCAGGTACAAATTTATCAGTACATTTAAAGCATAATCCAAGTTTCCTTTTCTGTTCATAGAGTGTCTTTATATTGTTTTGGACTATATTGCTCATCAACTCTATGCTGGTTGAAAGGTTTATAGGATGTAATAGCTGTTGGTCTTTCATTATTAAATGAAGAACTAATTCTGGAAGTAATTATGTAAGAGACAGATCATTGGTTCCAGTTTCTAGTTTCAAAGAGAAAGGGAAAACCTCTATAGGTTGAAGAACCTCACCGTAGAATCTCTTCATCCATGTCCGATCATGGAATCTGTCCAAATGAAGTTTCTGCTTAGGAAACTTGGCGTTTTCCATTCAAAGTTTGTGAAGAAACTAGATGGGAAATTTAATTGAGGAACTTTTTAATACTTTAGGGATCCGATTGAGACAAAAAATTCTCCGGGATTTCAATAAAGACAAGGTCGGTCCAACAATGGAGGTTAAGGTAAATTGCCTTGATATTTTATTTCTTCTCTATGTTCTGAGTCTCCACCATTACTAACATTTTCTCATCAACTATGATAAAACAGGAACACGGAACCCTATCAACAACACAGAGCCTCCGAACCCTTGGGTTCTTTATGGCACCAAAACGTTGCCGTGATTTATCTGGTATTTCATACTTCACAAGGTATAACAAGCACACAAATACACAAGAAAATCATATCACTCGAAACAAAACATAGAATGTCACAACAGTGTTGCCTAACGGGATATATTGAATGGAGCAGACAAGCATAAACCTCAATAATCACCCATCGGTATTCATAAACTGAAAATAAAAGTGTTCTTTCATCACATACTTCCCCAAGCCCTCATCATTACCAAAGCTCTAGCCACAACAAATAGATTTCTGCAGGACCCATCATAGCTGCTGAAAACAGCTCCAGTCTTCTGGATTGTATGCTGGGGCTAGGTGTAGATAAATAATATCTTGCCATCAGTGGCCTTACAATGTAAGAGCCACTTCATTATTCTGCATGAGTAGCTTGTATGCAGCAAAGCCATTTTTTCTGCAAACCAATATTAAATTTTAAAGTATCAAACATGATGCAAACCTAGAATTTGTTCAATTTAGCAACTGTTAATAAAACAAAGCATGTTATTGTTGCTCATTGATGTGGTTTTCGTCCAGGGGTGGTTTAGTCCCAGCAATTAATAGTGTGATTGAAAAATTCATAACAACCAAGTGCAATTATTTATTATCTAAGAAACTACTTCACAAAAAAAAGGTCCCAAATTCATCCAAATGAAAGCTACTGAGGAAGTAGTGTGTTACTCAAATGCTCAGGAAATGATAGAAGACTGAAAATACTTGTGAGCAATGATTTACTTTCCTTTTAGTTTTCTACCTCTGATATGTAACAGCAACAAATGAAAAAACCCTAATTCCAAAAGAACATAGCATGCACATTTTAGAATGAAGTAGCATGTGCCAGGAAGTTGGGATCTCCGTTAATTATTTTGAATTGCTGAAGCAATTCCCACAGTAGCACTAGCACAATAAAAATCTTCATGATTAGAACAATGTAAAATTCAAGAGGCAATCAGTAAAAGTATTGAGAATTATTTAAAATAATTACTTTCATTAATGTTATGTGAATGAAAAATACATCCAAGTTCAAGATTAAGGCATGGGACTGGTAGCGTGACGTGTGAGATGAAAATGCTTCCAGCTGATAATGGCAGAATATTTAACCAAACCCAAAAGCCAGCGAAATAAAATAAGAAAGGTTGTTACTTACAGTCTGAGGCTTTCCAAGAGTAGCAGTAGCACCAGGCTTGTATGTGGAACTATCCTTTGCTGGTGAGTCAGGCTTGCCACCTGTCTTTTTTTCATTCCTAGCCTTGTTGAAGATTACTGTGAATCCCTCAGCTGATGTTGGGTCGTTGACATCCCATTCCCCGAACTTTGGCAATGGTTGGTCCTTTTCCTGAAGAGGTTCAAGATTCACACGAAAAGTCAGTCATCTCAGGACAAGACAGCAAAAGGGATAACTGGAAGGCATAATGATATCTACATTATTTCCCATCACTTTTTTCCCTTCGACTGGCAAACAAAAGGATCTTGCTGATCTTGTAAAATAAGGAATAGCAAAGTATAAAAATATAAAATGAGAGAGGGAACGGCAAAATTATATATTAAATGCAAGATTGGAACAGATACATCGAACCTTGAAGCAGATACATTGAACCTTGAATGCACTGAAACACATGCCATTCAAGCAAATGGTAATATTCTAATTTATGACCTGGGAGACATTCGATGTTTCTGCATGCTATGTATGGAAACATAAACATACCCACATGCTCACAAAGACACAAACAAATATAATAGCATGCATTCCCAATCAATTAACATAAAATAAACCCATAACAAAACAAGGAAAGAAGACCGGTATATTAGGTTCGTCAACACGAAAAAAGGTGGCATCTTGAATAATAATTGACCAAGCCCAAAATAACCACAAGCGAGCAGATGGCCTCGTAGGCAAGATTAGGTAATTTCAAGGTACAATCCACAACTACATAAATGGCGCTACTTAGTAGATATAACACATGGAAATGTGGTAACCTCCATGATTCTTAAGGAATGAAGCTACATTCATTACTTTATCACAAGGCTCATACTGGAAAACATCTTGATATAGGAAAAAACAGCAAGGCCACATAGATATGCAAACATACATGCTCTCTATAGTGTTGGTTACAGAAATTTTTATCATCCATTTATATCCTCGTCCACATTCAACCACTACTGCCCTGACTATAAAAATCCTCTTCAACTTTCTATAATTACCCTCTTGGAGTCTCTCACAAAGGGTTCTAGTTCAACAATGTTTACTGTGACTGAAATATTTTGTTTTTGGTTTTTCCATAACCAACATCAAAATCTAACATAAACATACAATCCCAAGCGTGCCACATCAGGTCATCTGGGCCAAGTTTAAGGTTGGTATAGGGTATTCATGTGTTCAAACCCTCTTTGGAAGTGTTTATCTTTCTCAGCAGAGAAAAAGAATGGACTGGGATTTCATATAAAAACACAAGATACTAAATCAAAACTCAACTCCCATTGAGGAATATGATCAGGGTAGGGTGTGTTCATTCAATTTGTAGTATCAGCAACACTTTATACGCCTTCGACAAACTCATTTTTCACCTAAAATAAAGCCCTCGCTCTCAAGCTTCCCATAACATCAATGTACACCTAAGAGGTAAGACCTGTTAACATGATGTTGTATTCATTTATAAGGCAATGACCACCACTAAATAACTCATTAAAAATCAATGCTAGAAGACAATCTCTACAAATGAACAGAGCTGCGTAGATAAATTTATATTCGGTTACAAATTGCCCTTCGCAATTGTCAGAAAAAGGAATCAACATTCCCCATTCCTAGGTTCATATAGCAGGATTGATTTCTATATCTGCATGTTAAATGGAGGGGGAAAAAAAACAGAATGTCAACATATCGAACAACCCAGTTTAGCTTGGATCGGTTAGACTTGCATACATTATTGTAGCGAACAAACACGTATTCAAAAACAATTAGCCATCAAGGCATAACCGCCTATCATTTCATTAGGTAAAATACATGGAGGCCGTAATCGCCCTTGATCTTGACAAGGCGCAAACTAACAACTCATTTTATTAGGAAGACACAGCACGACCCAACCTAGTAAATCATCACTTGCGGCAATCTTCTAACATTTCATTTCATTTTCAGACAACATAAATAAGCATCATTCATTTATGCAGGAACTTTGCGCAATCAGCCCAAATTATAATTATTATATTAAAGAATATATCATCAGAGCTAGCAGCAATATTTATGAATCACGGTAGAAATTAACATAAGAAATTAAAAAGGAAGAAGAAGAAGAAGATGAGAAATGTTAAAGAAAAGGAATAATAAAATAAACGCCGCATAAAATACAAAGAAGAAAAAAATAGAAGGTTAATTATCATATGAAATGAAGAAGAGATTTTTCGGGTTAAGACAGTACCGCCATTATTTACAGAGAGAGAGGAAGGGAAGCGCCGCTTGAGTCTCCTCCTCCTTCCTGTTAGCTGTTTCTGTGATGGTGATGGTGATGATGATGATGAGGGAGCTTGAGAGGGTGAGTGGGCCAAGTTGGGCCGAAAGAAATGGAATCGATGGTAGTTATAGTCTGTGGGTCGGTGGGGGCCCACTAGGAAGAATAATAAATAAATAAATAAGGAAAGGCATAGCGTAAGCTTGTTTGGGTTAGGGTCTAGAATTTCAATTGCAGTGTTAATATCCAGCTTGGCACTGCCAAGTTGAAAAGCAAATTATCATAATTTTATTGATTATATTTCCAAGTTGAGCAATAATATGGTAGGTACCCCCTCCTCTCTACACCATTATTCTTTATTCATATCAATTATCCATGCAAATTCAAATAATCATACTATTTATTAATTATATATGATTTGATTTTCCATTAATCCATCTTCACTACAATTACATAAAATAAAATAAAATAAATCCATTATCTTCATTATTTATAAAGCAATAATTTTGTTTATTTTGCTCCTACATAAACATATAATGATAATGATAAACTAAAATAAAATAAATCCATTATCTTCATTACTTATAAAGCATTAATTTTGTTTATTTTGCTCTTACATGAACATATAATGATAACGATAAATAATTATTTTTTATTTTTTATTTTAAAATATATAATTTAATTGATTAGGTTTAATATTTATTTTGTTATTTTGTAGAGATTATTAATTTTAAGACTTTTTATTTTTATTTTTTATTTTAAAAATATATAGTTTAATTGATTAGGCTTAATGTTTATTTTGTAGAGATTATTAATTTGAGATCTATAAAATTTAAAATTATTAAAAATTCATATAATTATTAATTTTAAAACTTCTAAAATTAATTAAGATATATGTAAATTTTATATATTTATAATAATTAAAGATAAAAATTATCTGTTATTTCTATTTTAAATTTTATAAAATTAATTAAGATATGTATAAACTTTATATATTTATAATAATTAAAAATAAAAATTATCTGTTATTTCTTGCCACGATGCCTTGTTTTTTCCGGATCTGCTTTTGTTTTAAAACCCAACAGTCCAGATGGTCCCAGACATTGTCCCATGGCCTAAACAAAAGGAATTCTATACTCCAGCCCAGATTTTATTTAATTTTTTTCGGAATAATTACACCTCACAGATTACTATGCGCTGTCACATGATATGGCCTACTTTACATATTTTTATTTTATTATTATTTTATTTTTTTTGGCTTTCTCTGGCTCCAGCTCCTACGACCTCTTAAAATAAGAATATGGGTCCCCGGCCAGGACAAAGTCCACAATGTTTCCGTTCGTGAATCACGATGGCCTGTACTTAGTGGATGCCGCATCTACATAAACTATAACAAAAAATAATTTGAATTTAAAATAGATAAAACTCAATTTATTTTATTTATTTTTTATATTATTGTCGTTATAATTATAGAGCTACCATGTAAAACTCGAAATAATTCTACGTACTATTTTATGACAACCTCTGAACTGGTTACAAACGTGTTGCAATTTTATTGGAGAAAAATAATATCAAAATGAGGAGAGAAATTGACAGCATCCGTTCTTTTGAAAGCTAAATACAACAACTAGTCTAGGTTATTAAAGAAGAAATTGAAACGAGAGACGGATGAAATTGAACGTTGACTTTGATGTCGACGGAGTGGAGGTTTCTCTCACTTGATCGAGTCCCCATCCTCGTCTACCGCCTGAAAGAGACAGTTACGTTATCGGACTAGAAATCTTGATTTTTTACCCACCACCATTATCAAGTGAGGGTCTTATAGCTTGAGGAATCGCATCAAGCCATCATCTACGCTAGGTATTTTGCATGAGATTTTGTACTCACCAGATATTGCAAGTCTACAGAAGCTCTACAACTACCGCGGAGGCACCGCCGCCTCCATTGCAAACACCACCAACACCATATTTACCACGTTTCTGCTTCAATACCTACAGTACCATGACAACTGTACTAAGAGTCCATGCACTCAAATGAAAACGGGAGGGAGAAGGGGCGGGGGTAGCAAGATGTTATTAACAACTCAGAAGCAATTCAGTAGAGGTTGAAGAAAGCATACCCCTAAAAGTGTGACCAAGATACGAGCTCCGCTACAGCCTAGTGGATGCCCCAAGGATACAGCTCCACCATGTACATTGACCTTCTCCTGTAAGCAGGATAAAAGGGGTGCTTCATCAACAAGAATGAAATGCACAAATTTCAATGTCAACAGACATGAAAGAACTAAATGAGATGATATTGCAGTCATTCTTGAACATTATTAATCCATGTATCTTGAATATTAAAATATTTGCAGGTGCTGAGTAACACTGTATGCACACAAGCATTGGCAGAGGTCAAAAGCACTCACTGGATTAAGTCCAAGCAATTTCTGATTCGCAAGAGCCACCACCTGCATATAGTGTGACATAAATGGTGATTTTTATCATCAAAGATAGATGACCAAAACAAGCAGGAGATAAAGAATGGAAGCTCACAGCGAAGGCTTCGTTTATTTCATAGTAATCAACTTGGGAAGCATCCAAGCCAGCATTTGAGATAGCTTTAGGTATGGCAAGGGCTGGAGCTGTTGTAAAAAGCTCTGGCGCCTGCACAGGGAATTACACATGATTAAGCAGTGCGTGGCACTAAAAACTCAAAAGACAACGTAATGTAAATTGCACAGCATCAAGAAAATAGTAATTTCCCACCCAATTTAATGAATTACCTGAGCAGCATCAGCATATCCTGTAACCTTTGCAAGCACCTGCAGTCCAAGCTGAAGTGCCTTCTCTCCACTCACTAGAACTAAAGCAGCAGCACCATCACTGTTAATGAGAAAATTACACTTTTAGCAAAACACTTGGGCACTTATTACCACGATTTCAACATGCTAGAGGTTAAATAAAAGCTGAAAGAGATATAATAAGGAGAAACAGTGTTTATAGCTCCCCAGGAAAAATATCCGTTGGGTATGGTGTTTGGAGATGCTCATAATGATGCAAAGGGAAGGTCGGTCCTGGCATCAAATGACTACACCGTGCAAGAGATAGACCTCTAGTAGAGTCAAACATATAGCTACTTCTGATATTCTGACCTAACTGAATAATTGAAAGAAGATGGACAAGTAAATTGAAGGTGAGAGAAATATTAAACCTTATGCTAGAGGCATTGCCAGCAGTAACTGAGCCTCCAGATTCTTTGAAACTTGGTCGGAGCTTCCTCAATTTTGCAGCATCAAACTGGCATAGCATAAAAGCAACATAGAAAATTTAATAGCAGAGCAAGTTGGATACTAATAACTAATTGCCAACATCAGAAGCAAAGACAAAGGACTGGTTTGGAAACATACCTTTCCTAAACCTTCATCCTTATCAATAATTGTTGAAGGTCTTCCTCTTCCTCCAGGGACTTCAACCTGTGCAATAACAGTTTAGATACACAATATTGACAAAAAGCAAGCAAAGGAAATATCTTCAACATAAAAATAGATTTCTAACCGGAACAATTTCCCATGCAAAGGCACCACTATCTTGTGCAGCAATACCACGCTCAAAGCTCTGAATAGCATAGTTATCCTGCATAAATCACCAAGATCCTAGTAAGAAACTGCTTTGAAATTGAAAAAAAAAGGTCGTAGTTTTGAGGCTCTATGTGGTTGTGAGGACAGCAGTGATTCAGAGACTTTTGTCCATTAATCTAGCGTCTTCAGCTTTTATCATCATGCCCTCACTGGTAAAGCTGCCCCTGATACAATGATACCAGAGGACTGAAGGCTTATGGTAACCATGGGTGTAGACAGGCAGGCTACTAGAGGGAAAAGAAAAGGCAATGGGAAAATGCATGTTCCAGAAACTGAACTGAAAAGAGGTAGAAAACAAGCCAGCAAACCGGCTGCGTAACAACTTACCAATCAATAATGGGGTTTGTGGCTAAAACAAGGCTAGGTTTGATAAATAAATAAAAAATCAAATTGTCTATAAGAAAATTCACTGACCACAAGAGCAAAATGTAGATTTGACACCGTATTATGAAGAAAATACGTATATCAAAAGCCATATCTAACAATGAGGTTCTGTTCAAAGAATCTTATGGGATTAATACAGTACCTGGTCGTCCCTGGGTATTGAATGAGTATCAGCGCATAATTCAGCACAATTTCCCATTCCACAATCATTATAAACATCCCACAAACCGTCTTTGAGCATTCCATCAACCAATGAATCGTGTCCAAGTCGGGATCCCTTCCTGCTTGAGATAATTGAATCATAAAACATTCGATGGAGTTTCAAAGTAATGGAACTGACTAACCGTAATGAGTGTGTCACACTAACCTTGCTTCTGCCAAGTACTTGGGGACATTTGACATGCTCTCCATGCCTCCAGCAACAACAACATCATTAATACCCAACTGGATACTCTGGGCTGCAAGCATGGTTGCTGCAACATCCCCCAAAAAAAATAAAAAAAAAATAAAACCTAAAATGCTTTAGTGATATTTTCTTAACATAAAAGGAAGAAGTAATTAAGAGATCAACATGATATCACGTGCACCTTTCATCCCTGAAGCACAAACTTTGTTAATGGTCGTGCAAACTACTGAATTAGAAATTCCTGCGCCTAATGCAGCCTGTCTAGCAGGAGCCTGTCCTAAATTCGCACAGAGAACATTGCCAAAAAACACTTCTTGCACAGTTGAAGGATCAACATTGGCCCTTTTAAGAGCAGCTACATATCAACAAACAAAGGAGAGTATTTAGCACCAAATGCCAAAAAGAACGTTCCATAAACAGAGATTCAGCCAATAAGTAAACAGCACAACAAGGCTGTATTCTGACCTTCAATAGCTATAGATCCGAGCTTGGTCGCAGGTAAAGATGACAGCGAACCCAGAAAGGCACCCATTGGTGTACGTGCAACACCAACAACACAAACATCTGCGAAAAAATTTAAATCAAGAAAATTGAACAGCACATATTGAATCTATATTTGAAAGTTTTCCACCAACTTCATAATAAACTGAAATGTTGATAAAATAAAATAAAAATAGAGCATCAGGACTATACAAAGTGTCAGACATAAGGATTACATTCAATTAACATGCATGTATAGATTTATCAAAAGAAAGAGAGAAAATACGGCACCTCTCGGCTTTATCTCTGCAGAAGTCATTGAGAATATTGGAAATGAAAATCTGCAAGAGATTACAAACCCAATTAGCCTTTGATTCCAATTAAAAGAAAAATAATTATGGTAAGCATAAGCATAAGCATAAATGAGCTGTATAAAAAAAATTAAAAAAAAAACGACACAAGCTTTAGATGATCCGCCTTTTAAACAGTTGATATTAATGAATTAATGAAGTAGTTAGTTGATCAGTTAAGGAAATCCCAAATCAATAGTAGAAAAGGCATGAGACATTGGATTATTATTATTATTATTATTATTATATAGTTTCCCAACGAGACGCGTATGCCTTAATTACTTAAAACACGAAAGACACTCACATCAAAGGCTGTTTGTTCACTGAGAAAATATAGAGAAAAGAAAAGCTAAGAAAACAGATGGATGGACGGATCAAAGGATGTATAAACAGAGGTAGATGAAATACATCTTTCTAAAAAAAAAAACATTACAGAGAGAATTTATTAGAGAGGAGAGTAATGAAAGAAAGAAGAAGGTTATACCTGCAACACAAGACGCAGAGGACTTTTCCAGAGATCCTCAAGAAATGAATGCAGAGAGACGGAGAGTGGTTTAATGGCAGGATTTGAAGTGAGACTTGTGTATATATAACGGAAAAGGAACCGGGGAGTGTTTGGAAATAGGCAACTGCCCACCTGCAAAATAATTTATTTAATTGTTGGAGTGTTACGGCGGTCGTTTTTTAAAATATATTTTATTCAAAAATACATAAAAAGTAATATTTTTTTATTTTAAAAAAATTAGAAAAATAATTTAAAAATACAAAAAATTATTATTATTTTAAAAACCATGATATATAATTTTATACTACCTACAAGAAGAAGATGAAATAAGTCTGACTTTAGCAAAGCCAGGGTAACTAGGGGGCATTTTATCTTAATAACACTTTAAAAAATAATTATAAAATAACATATTTGGCTTTTGTAAAGGGTAGAAGTTGGGAATATTAACTTCTTAAAAAAAAATAAGATAGGATGGTTTAAATTTTAAGAAAGAGAGAGCAGAAAATTAAATAAATAAAATTCTGAAAGAATGATGAAATTTATTATATCATATTTATAGAGATTTCATCTATTCAAATTTAATAATAATAAAGAAGAATAATAATTAAAGTGGGTTATATTTTTCCTATGAAATAAGTTATCCTTAACTGTATAATTTAATAAATTTTTTATGTTATTAAATTTATTTTATTATGATTTTTCTAGTAATACACTAGTGAGGTCATAATCAAAGCTACAATATTTGTTAAAAGTTTATTTTTTTCTCTTTTCTATTTTTTATTGTAATTGTTTTATTATTTTTTAATGAAAGGTGGAATTCATTTCATCAAAAATTATTATTTTTTATTGTAATTGTCTTAATCAGAATTTTAATATATTTATGAGATTATTTTTTTCTTCTTTTCTCTCTTATCTCTATTCCTAAAATTTGTGATATCCTATTTTAACAATTATTTAGAAGTAATATTACTAGCATGGAAGACAGTGTTTTAGTATTCTCTTCATGGGTTTTGTAGGCAATAAAAAATCTTATATTTTATTATTTCCACCTCATAAATGGTTATTTACCTTCTTCTTTTCTTTTCTTTTTCTTTTTTTAATATATCATTGATTTTTTAAACAATGCCGAAGAACGTGGAAAAAAAAAAAGAATTCCAGGGAAGACCAGAATAAGTAAGGACTGACTTCTTCTTTTTTGGTCAATATGGGTTGGTTTGACTTGTAACATTATGAGTTTCAAGTATAAATTAGTCCCTCTATTTAAAAAAAATATGAATTAATTAGTTCCCCTGGTTAAAAAGAAAAAAACTAAAGAGTGCGGTGAATTTATTTTGCCCCTAAATATAAAACTGAGATTTTTCTTGATTTTTTAAAATAATATCATCCCTTAAATATTTTTTAAATACTAAAAATCTTTTGACCTGATAGTGATTCACTTATCTAGTTTTAAAAATTAATTATTAATATTTTCATTTAATTTAATTTATGTTATTTTCTTGTTTTAAAATATAAATAAATATTAAAAAATAATTTATTTTATTCAATCATGAAATTATAAAAAAATCATCAATTAAAATAAAATTTATTTTTTCTAGGGTAATTTTCAAAATATTCTTTTTTATATTTATTTAATACATTCTTCAGAATAATTTCTCTAACACGTGTAACTTTAAGATAAATGTTTGAGATTATAATTATAATTATGGTTGTTTTTTATTAGAAAATATTTAAAATAATATTTTTTTTATTTTTTAAATATTATTTTTATCCTATAACATTAAAATGTTCTAAAAATAAAAAAATATTAATTTAAAATAAAAAATTTATTTTTAAAAAAACACTTTAAAAAACAAAATCAAACAATTAAAAAAATAATAATAAAACTTTAGTCCCTCCAGCAATTATAATTTCTATCATATTTCATCATAAGAAAATTTAATTATTTTTGAGCTGTCTATTTTCGTTTCAAAAAATTAATTTTATTATTTATTTCAAATTAATTTTATTTATTTTTAAATTATTTTAACGTTTTAATATTAAAAATAATTTTTAAAAACTAAAAAAAATATTATTTTAATATACTTTCAAACAAAAACATATTTTATTAAAAAAAAAGTAACCATCAGCCTAAAACACCAAATTAGCTGCCTAAATCGAGCCAAAAGTTACACAACCTGGCCTAAGAAGATCAAAGATTCCCGGGCGTGTTCTTACACGTAAAAACTGCCGACGCTCTTGTTTTTTTCCTCTGTTCTCTTTTTTATTTTACTTCTTTCCCTTTCGTCTCCCTCGGTGTTTTTCATTTATTATTATTATTATTATAATCTTGGTGGGTGCAGCGATTACAAGCTATCACAGACAACAGCAGCATCTCTCTCAACAGGTCACGGAAGAGAAGCAGTAAAATCAATAGGTACAGAACACAGTATCTTCTTCAAAACTTGATTGCATATGGCTTCAAGTGGATCGCAAATATCCCTTTTACCCATTTGCAGTTTATTTTATTTTATTTTATTTTTAAAAAAGGGTCAATGCTTTTGGTTTCCACCATAGCCATCATCGTAGACACCACCATAAATGTCAAGCTTGGGTTTTTCTGGGTAAATACTGCTAATGTGGTGATTAGGAGTTGATTGTGTTTTTTATTTTTTATTTTTTATTATTAGTGATTTCGGCTAGTAAGAATACAGTATAGGCGAGCCATCAGCTTCTTCAGCTTTGGATGAATTCATCCGACGAATCAGCCAGCCAACTTAATTGACTGGGTCTATAATTCCATTGACTTTTTAATCAGCTAGCCAACCCAGTTCACCCTCCTCAGCCGTCTCTCAGGTTGATCTCAGAGTATTATTTTAAAATTATAATAATTATTATTTTTATTTTTATATTGTTTTGGATTTGAGATTTGAACGAGATTGATTTTTTAATTAAATTTTAAGATTATAATAATTTTTATTTTTATTTTTATATTCACACAGGTCAATTATCAACCTAGCTTATAACCTGTATTAAATTTTTCAGACTCGTAATTAATTCCACATAAGTAGGCAAGAAATTGGATTTATTATTTTAATAAATTTGCAAACTGAAAAGCATTCCCACTTCTAAATTCCAGTATTTACTTGCATTTGAAGTACAAATTTTAAGATTACTGTCTTATAAATCCTTTTAAAAACATTAATTAGATTGTTTTTATAATCAATCACTGAATTTCCATTAGATACATAACTTGATTCAAGCATATTTTTTTTAATTATTAATATAAACATCCAAATCAGCTAATTTTCCGGACGTGAACTCAACATATTACTTTTTTTTTTTTTGATTAATGTGGGTGTACGCACACCACGATTAATCCCACAGTTTACCCTTTTAAAAACATTAATTAGATTGTTTTTATAATCAATCACTGAATTTCCATTAGATACATAACTTGATTCAAGCATATTTTTTTTAATTATTAATATAAACATCCAAATCAGCTAATTTTCCGGACGTGAACTCAACATATATTTTTTTTTTAATTAATATAGATATCCTGCTAGTTTACACGCATCACGAAAATATTACTTGACATAAAACTCAACACAGTTGGAATATGGTCAGATGCTGCCAGCCACCTACCACTACCGTCCAAAACAAGGTATTCTCAGGCACGCAAATTGGCCTGTGGAATGTGTGTGACACGTGCACCGGTCAGTTCACGGCACCCATTGCTCATTAAATAAAAGAACACCCTCTTTGACAATATTTTCTTTTCCTCTATTGTTTAATTGATGTTTTCTATCTTCCTTTACACGGAGTGTTTCTGTTTGTGATTCGTGATCAAACAGACCAATAATTAATGTATACCTGTCTGCTTGACAAGTTCCTTGCCACTCAGAGTCTTTAGGGATGCCATATCACCACCTCAATGGTCAAATTATATGATTTTGAGTTTGAAGTTATGGCTGATCTCTCAAGCTTGTGATCACTTGGATTAAGAATAAGGACAATTGACGACTTCAGATAAATGATTAGCATCTGGTGCGCACCATGCAGCAGGAAGCTTGACCAGTCGCTTCAGAAATCATACCATCTTCTCAAATTTATCAAGCTTCTTTACCCTTTGCATGGACCTTAGAAGAAGTGTCAGAAAAACTCCTGCATTTTCAATGACGAAACACTTTATTCCACGGAATATTGATGAATGATCAGGCATTTCAATGTTTGAAACCAAAAACTCGCGCCGATATGATTTGAAGGTTCTTATGCAAGAAAGCTCACCTGCACCAACGAACGATCCATTTGCAATAACTTGACTGCCCTGGTTGTTGAAGGTTACCCCGAGGTTTAGTAGGGTACCTCCTAAGACTGTATACATGGTCGCCATTTGTAGTATTGTTGCTTTTCGAGCTGCTCTTTCTGACTGGTAAAGGCAATTTGATTGTGGTGTTAAATTGAAGTGGGAAAAAGATTTAAACTCCTAAAAGCTCGGTCTAGCTATGGTGAGCCTTTTCAAAAAACCATTTCAAGAGGCCATCAGACTACATATTCTAAATAGAATATGAAAGGATGATTACCTCAAGCACCCGGACTCGGAGTTTCAAGTCACCCGCTTCAAGTTGTTTCACAAAATCCTCTATTCGTTGGATTCTGTACGGCATGGATATGGTGGAACTTCTAGCCTGAACAAATATACAAGTACACTTAACACTGGGATAAAATATGAAACTAGAAGCAGGAGTTTCTATCTAACAGCATTTCTAGGGAGGAAATGGAATCTAGGAGGAACAAGAGCGAGGGCAATACATCATTTGCTTGTTTCCTTATTTCCTCAACTAGCTGTGTTCCATTACGTGGCCTTTGTCTTCCATCTAAAAGCTCCTGTAGGTGGTGTAAAGCATCAGTCAACTGTATGCAGACCATGAAAGCATTGGGAGAGAAGCTGCAATGAAAACATGCTAGTAAAACATATCCAACCTGCGCATAAGGGGCAGCAATCTTCACAAAGGAAAAATCTGGATCAAGAATGTACCCGATACCTGGAAGGACACAATGATACCGAGGTAAGATCAACAAATATGTAGGCTATCCTTTAAACTTTCCTCATTCACAAAGTTCACAAACTAACAAAATATC